AATTGAAAACAAATCTGTGAAAAATGTAAAAGAACTCAGATTTAATTTTGTCCAAATACCCACATGAATTAATTTGAAATTGATCCAATAATTAACATATTATTTTTACACCTTAAACGTTAAAATGACGGCCCTAATACTACTTTTGGATTTCAATATAAAAAATACGGAACGGAATAAGATAATTATAACAAAATAATTATTCCAATAAGGATCCGTTTAAATAATTAAAGTAATAAAATTGTTTAGAAGAATACCTCTTTTGTAGATTCTTCGAAACTTCAATTTATACGGTTAGATTGTCGTAAACCACAATTCGTCCAAGTGTCCAGTCTCTAATAGTATCTATATGAATACACAAGTAAAAAACTCTAAAACTATTTTAGAGGATTGAGATATTAGAGCGTATGATGGTACTAATAAACTCACACTCTATGTTTAATTTTGTAACCATGATCAATAACCGTCTTTAAAGTGTCTCTTAAACTTTACATATAAAAACTTAGGTCATAAATAAAATAATTATAATTACTTATTTAAACCTTTTAAATAACTAAATTATATATGTATCTATTTATATATGTGCATATTTATTTATTTAAACAATTAAATAAATAAATCATAATACATAAAGTAATAGGATTTTCAATTTAATCAATTTGAAGCTTAGGTGCGTGAGAAGTAAGAGTGAGAATATACTTCATTACTTTCTTAAACCTTTGTAAATTAACTAAATTATATTAATTGTATCTATTTATATTAATGTTGCAATAATTTATTTATCTGCATTTAAACAATTAATATGCAGTACAATAAATCATAATACCAGCTTAAAGTATAATAGGAATTTTATCACATTAATCAAATATTTAAATTATTTAATTTTAGACATATTGTAAGCTATAATAATATATCGATAACTTCAAATTATTAAGGTTATTTCTCATCTATAAATTTATTAATAAATTTTAGACAGTAGATATTAAAGCTCATACTTAATAATTATAATAAAATTAATAAATTAATATATAGAATTACATAATTATTGGCCCTTAGAGCGTCCGTATTATAGACTTATGTTGTCAGTCAAATGTAGTTCCTTGAGTTTAATTTTCGTTTTCACTTTCCATTTCATTTCGGTTGATGATGTGTGAGCCGTTCTAAGGTCTAAAATATATGACAAGGTAAAGTGAGTAGAGATTAGAAGTTGGGAAGTTGGATGTAAGTATTGTTGAAGCGGGGTTAACGTAGCAATTGTGGTAGGCAACGATGTTACATGTGGAGGGCGAACAAAAAGTAATGTTTGAAGTATACATAATTATATTCCTTCATCATTTAACGTGTTTGATTTAGTAATTAGGCATGAAGTCTGGTCTGACTTGTACAAACTTAGATAATTAGTTTCTTAATTCTTAGCCCATTGAGGAGTTAAATGAAATTTCAAATTTTAAGGTGGGTGGCTAATTTTCCATGTCTAGCCTTGCGCAATGGAGTGTTCTTAATCAAGCTTACTAATTGAGAGACGAAGTTTAAGAGTGATCGTTTCCAGATGATGTTAGGCGGGAGTAGGGTGATGGATTATTCTCTTAATTAGCATGCAAGTAGTGACCACGAGATGGCGTGATAGGTCTGTTGATAGAATTAAAGTTGGGGCATTAGCGTGATTCAAGGAAGGGTAATATATTGTGGAAACGCGAAAATCAAAAAATATAACATCCTCAATACAAGATAGTGTTAGGTAATTTCTGGTCCAAATATGATCAATTACACAACCATGCATTTGAGTATATCTATTCCAGTTTGGGAGTAAGTTCGTCTAAGTATGAAAGTTCGTCTTGGCAGGTCAAATTTCAGGTGACTGGGGGGAAAGAAGTAGACGAGGCGACCTAGCATATTAATTGCTAGATGAGACGATAGAGTCGGGTGTCAACTATGGAGGAACCAGGTTGCTTTCCTTAAAAGGAAGAAGAGAGCATAGTGCGAGTTTCGGTTTGAATGAAATTTCAAATTTAATTTGCTAATTTCATTCTACCTTGCGCAAGGATTTCTTAATCAATACTAATAGAGAACAATTAGAATATTTTCCATGATTTACCTAGGGTGATGAATTATCTCTTAATTACACAAGTATCTCCATACAGTTCCTACTCTGTCTGATAAATTATTGCTTACTATTCAAGAATGAATAATGTGAACGAAAAATCAAAATATAATCATCCTCATACAAGATAGTTAGTAATTTCTGGTCAAATGATCACTTACACAACCATCATTTGAGTATTCTATAGACACAGGTAACTCTCTATATGAAATTCTCTTGCAGGTCAATTCAGTGGACTTGTTAAAATAACAAGCACCTACATATTAATTCTAGATATTACATATATCTCAACTAATGAGAACGGTTGCTTCCTTAAGGAAAGAACATATCAGTTTCAACAGATCTAATCATCATCCAATAATGAGGAGAACATTTACCAGAAATATTACATTAGTTTAATGCAAAATAGAACTCATAATTATAACTACATTATAATTTACTTTGCAAAGCAATATTATCTTATGAACTTTATCGTTTACCAAGATTCAATCAATATAATATAAAAGATAAATAAATGTCTTTTATTAATCATAAAATTTTTATTACATGAAATATTATATCGAAAATATAACTAATCAAATTGTCTATAAGGCATATAACTTACATAATTACCTATTTATGGTAATTTTCTCTATTTAAACATTGGAGGATCGGTTCCTAAAAAAAATGCTACTAGACGATCATCTTTTAGTGTTTTCTTTTACCCTCACGTTAAAAAATAATTTTATCATTTTCACACGATCCTTAAGAACAAGTTGGCTCTGATACCACTTATTAGATTTAGAAACTTTGGTACCACTTATTAGAAAATTAGAAAGAAACTCGGTTGATAGAAAACCCAAAAAAAGAAGTTTAGAATAGAACTTCATTCAGAAACTTTTTGTTGATTGATACAACTACCATTAGGAGTAGACTATTTATAGGTAAATGGATAAATGTTAATTTTGGTGTCTGTACTTGTCTTTTTTTTTTTTTTTTGTTTTTTTGGTGTCTGAAAATAGAAGACTTATGACCATTGAGTGTTCACATTGCAAATTTTTTTATCATTTTTGGAATGGTCTCCTAATAACATGACTACTAAAATCTAAATGAGACTATTTGGTGTAAAATTATCTTAATAGTAGCCCAGATGCTATTGTTTTCATGAGATTTGTTTGAAGAAGAATATAACAAATAGTATCCGAAAGCCGTACGCTTAATTCCGTAACATCAATATCATATGTTATGGGTTACCTCTTCTCGTTGCGTTTGCGCAACTCAATTCTCAGTCGTAAAGCAGATCTATCGTTTTTCAACTCTGGTTTTTATCCATCAAATTTCTCCAACTGGTCAAGAATTACAAACAATTACAGGAGTTTAATTTACACGCTCTCCTCAAACAACCTATCATTATTTTGTTTGACAGTAGCCGTCACACTCTTTCCTTTTCTTTCTATGTACAGCCATAGCTGTCGATTCCTTTTTATCCTTTTATACAGGCAAGGGAAGGGTATAAAGACCCTAACCTGAGCTCTTATTGCCATTAATGCTCCGAATAACCTTATCTTGGGCCACCATAATAGGGAAACTCAGCCCTTTAATCATATGGCGGCACATATAAGCGTTTTAACATATGCACTGAATCTAGACATATACTCTGCCACTTGCCCATGTGCATTTCCTTGAACTATCATAGTTGACCTTAATGTAGAATTTAAATGAATCGGAATATGTGCGGTCACAGTCATTAATTGAACATTATGACTTCATAATATCGACAACACTTCAAATTCATAAAACTTTAATCGGCGAAACTATTCAACAAATCAATACATTGTTACAATTCAAATAGGCTGTTATTGATTATCTGTCACTCAAACATTAATGTTATACCCTCTATAATGTGGGATACACCACACACAAATAAAAGCAAACACATCTATAATTAAAATTCCAATGCAGCCAATAGATATGTAACAAATAATATGAGCAAAATAACCATATGTATATGTATATACAAGTTTAACCATCATGCTAACAAGGACTTATCTATAATGCCCATCCTATCAACATGGCCAGTGAAGATTTTGGGCAGTAGGCCTTTAGTTAGCGGATCCGCTATCATCAGATCAGTACCGATATGCTCAATTGACACTTTGTGTTTTTGCACTTCTTCCTTCACAGATAGGTACTTCAAATCCATGTGCTTTGCACCCTTAGAGTACCTATCATTCTTAAAGAAGAAGACAACTGCAGAATTATCACAGTAAATTCTCAACGGTCTAGACACGGGTCTTACGCTATTACTGTCCTATAATGCCTAGACCTGAGACAGCAAAGTTCAAGCAACCACAATGCAGAATAAGTGGCCTCAAAAGCATGCCTGACATAATCTCAGCCTCCATAAGTGGATAGTAGCAATGACAAGACTGTTTCGCTCTTTTTGCCATGATAACTGCCCATCAGCTAGCAAGAAACAAAGTAGCGCAAATGTTAGACTTTCTCAGAATCTAACAACAAGGACATAGTCTGAAATCTCCGAGTATCCGCACACTTCTAGAGATGGACCTGGATTTTCTTATAAGTGAGTAATACTGAGTCTTAAGTTGCCTAGTATAATGTGACCAAATATCTTCTGCCAGGTTTCTAATGGATCCATGACCGCTCGGGATTACTTTGATATCGCCACTCACATTCTACGGTGGGAAACTAACTATCTGGTCGAGTACATGTCTGATGTCTGAACATACATTAAGCTCCCAACCACTGACGCATATGGAATAGACTCCATCTCTTTACATTCCAAATCATTCTTAGGACATTGCATTTCGCTGTACCTATCTCCTTTCTGAATTGGAACTATTCCTGCGGAGCATTTTTCCATTCTGAATCTCTCTGATACCTTATCAATGTAAGCTCTTTAAGACGATCCTAACAGTCCTTGTGATCTATCACGGAATATTTCTATTCGAATCACAAATGATGCCTCTCCCATATCTTTCATGTCAAAGTTCTTAGAGAGAAAATCCTTTACATCATGCAACAACCCAACATCATTCGCAGCAAGAAGAATGTCATCAACATATAGGACTAACATAATAGACTCAACATAATGAGACTTGCTCCCACTACACGCTTCATATAAAATACACCAATCCAGCAGTGTTTTCTATAAAACCATATGAAGTGATGGTAATTTGAAGCTTAAGAATACCATTGAATGGGAAGCTTGCTTCAGTGCCATAATATTGACTTCTTTAAAAGCTTATACACCCAAGTTTTCCTTTCCTATGACCACAAAAACCCCTCTGGTTGGTCCATAATATACCTTCACTCCTCTAAAGTCACCAATTAGAAAAGGCTGCCTTTTAATATTCCATTGGTGAAGCTCTAGATCATAATGAGCTACAAAGCCAAAAATATATTCTTAGAAGAGGAGTGCCTTTGGTGAGAAATTAGAGAAAAGGTTCTCTTTTATAAATCAATGCAATCATTCTGAGTGTAAACCCGTTCAAGCAAACACAGTCTAGCCTTATATATTTCAGTGTTGCCTTAGACGTCCCGTTTGGGTCCCTTTAAAAACCCATTTTCAAACCAACTTTGTTTTTGACCACCTCAGGCAACTCGACTAAAATCACAAACTTGATTATCAATCATTGATTGCATATATTCTTCCTTCAATGGCAAATTAAACTACTGTTTATTCAGAGAATTATCACATTCCATTGGCTTTCTGGAAAGAGACTGGATGCCTTATCAATGGGCTGTAATTCACGATTCATGCTCAAGTGAGTAAAACCTCAATAATCACTAGAAATAGCTGGCTTTCTTTGCTTTTATGACCTTCTCATGATGCTAATTTTCTTGTGAAACCACTTGATCATTCTTGAATTGGTTCATTATTTTGCTGTTCCAATGCATTTAAATATGGTCCATTTTGGTGGTTTCAGAAATGTTGTTTAGTGTTCAAGCCATGTGTGTTTAAACCGTGATAACAACCTAAGTGGAAAAAATCGAAGAAGAGATCATTAGGAAAATCCATCTGAGTTGGATTTTCAATCTGAATCTCTTGCAACACCATTCACCTTACGTGGTTCACTGCCTCCCACTATTTGGCCATTTTCAATCAAACCGAGCATTACCAGACTAACATTCTTCATACTATGGTTAAGAATTAATAAAGATCTGTACCCTTTTGACTTTTGCAGGATATCACTACTGAAAAATCCACTAAACCGTTCTATGTCAATCAAAAGCTCTTTTATGTGGAATTTATATAATCCTTACTCGCGCTGGGCAACCCAAACATGAAGATGCCTCAGACTAGGTTCCCTTCCGTTCCACAGTTTCAATAAGGGGTCTAGGAACTGCCTTAAACTATGAACCTACTAAGTAAATATGTCCAGCAAGTCTTTTAATGCAGTGCATCCATAATGATAAAGACATAGCAATTATTTAAGGCAATAAGCTCCTAACCATTTCCATAAGAGTAACAAAAATTTTTTCGCGCCCTTTCAAGCTACACCAATTCTATTGAGTGTAAGCTTGGCATTGTGTATCGCGCCACAAATGGCCAGCGAACTTTCAAAGAAACTTTGCAAATGGGACCTGGACATGGACCTGGACATTGTCCATTTTCATTAAGTTTACCATAATATTCACCACCTCTATCAGATCTCACAACTTTAACTTTTCTATTTAACTGCCTCTCTACTTCATTAATGAGTATCTCAAGGATATCCACTAATTGAGACTTTTCTTGCAGCAAATATACATAACCGTACCGTGAGAAATCATCGATAAAAGTAATAAAATATTTTTCACCATCCTAAGAGGGAACATCAAAAGTACCACATATATCAGTGTGTATAAGTTCAAGCAATTCGCTGTTTGTTGTGGCTGGATTCTTTAATGTGTGCTTAGTTTGCTTACCTTTAATGCAATCTATACACACATCCCAGTAAGTGAAATCCTATTGAGGCAAGATTTCACCTTTCACTAACCCTAAAATCCTTTCTTTGGATATGTGACCTAACCTTTGATGCCAGAGTGACCTAACCTTTGATGCCACAAGAAAGCAGAACATTCATTATGTTCACTATGTTTAATACTTGTATTGTGTTCAACATTAAACAGAGATTCAATAAATTCAGCATCAAGATTTAAACGATACAAACCATCAATCAAAGTACAGAACCATAATAGTACTTAACTTTGTATAATGAAAAAACACCATTACAAATCTTAAAACTGAAACCAACATTATCCAACCTCCCTACATAAACTAAATTTCTAGGACATTCAGGAACATAGGGACACTTTTCAAGATCCAGATAACAACTAGTGTCCAGGATCAATCTGTAAGTCCTAATTCCTTCTATTCGTGCCTTCATTCGTGAGTGTGTTTCCATGAATTAGGAACTTTCAAGTTTCGTTTATGGGCTTGGATCGAAGAATTTCCCTTAGTATACATTATGACGACAGTATGAGTAGTTGCACCAGAATCTAACCACCAGGTATTATTCAGGGAGTACCACTTCAATAAGATTTGAATATTCCAAAAACATACTGGAAGACATAAAGTATCCTTTCCTTTTCAAAACCAATCTTCCTTTTAGGACAAATCCTTCTTGAAGTGAACCATTCCTTCCTACTAGAAGTAGCACTTTAATTCCTTACAGATATTGGCCGCTCAATTAACCTCATTGGGGCACTGTCCCTTTTCTGCCTTTTCTTCCCTGATTTGTTGCTGCTCTAAAAGCTAGCTCCATTATGAAAGTGTGACGATTTTGCACGGAGTGTTCCTTCAAATTTCTTTAAATCTCCGCTTCCTCTTGTATTAACATGGCCAATTGTTTTCCTTGAATGTTCCATTTTTCTTAAAGGGTGTTTGTAAATTCCACCTGGAACTTGACCAAACTCAAGAGGAAGTGAGTTAATAATAAATTGAACCACTAAAAAGGATTTCACTCATCCATTCCCATTGATTTCAGTTTGAAGGCTACCCCAATTCTGTGCAATGCCTGTCAACAGTGATCATGAATGGATTGTGACATCAAACTTCTTGTCGTTAGCTTACCAAATCAAGGATCCCAACGATGGAACTATGTCAGCTATGTCGAATTGGGAGTATTCCTTAATTTTCAGCATGTTACTACTCTAGCCATTTGTCTGTTTCTGGATATTGATGGCTTACCATTTTTCAGCCATTGTCATCCTCATTAAGTCAAGCTCAGCCTGTTAGAGCGCGTCCAAGCCTCCATAATGGGACTTGGTCAAACTTTCAGCTGCTGGTCTCTGTAATGGCCTGCTGTCTTTCAGAGAACTAATGCCAAACTCCAAGTCAAGAATCCTAACTGATATGGATTTGTTTGGATACATAGCATTATTTCTATATTATTACTTAATCAACACAGTGCCGCATAAGAAACATGTTAAAGGAAGCTGCAACATAACACATATACTCCCATCACGTTAATGCTTTGAGTACAGCATAAAATGGATTCAAACAAATAACACTTTAAATTATGCAATCTAGTTTCACCATTTGGGTAATATTTTAAAATGCATAGCTTTAAATCAATAATGTTGCCAAGAGAAAAATACTTTTAATAGACTTTCATTGTGGAGCAACTTATGCGCGCCTTTAATGGCAAGTACAGAGAAGAAGCACAAGCCGTGCTACATTTATAGCATGCGCCCCGTGCTTCTCTTCTGGAAAGTCCAAAGCACCGTTCCCGTGCTCAATTGTAGCACAGCCCGTGTCCTTTCTAGAAATCCGTTTACCTTTTTTTTTTTTATTCCATTCAACTATTCAATAATGCTAACCAAACAATATGCATGTTATCTTTGGAATACATTGCATGATTAATTTAGTACAATAGGATAAGTCTCTTTTAATTTAATGCCATTGATTATAATTAATGGTCTACTTTTGGGTAACCTAACAAATTATAATCAATGATCTCAATTGTTCAATTTTAACTTTCATATCATTTAAGGCATTACACAAACATGAACAATTGAAAATTGCATAATCAATGTCTAAAACAATCCAAACAAGGCCACTTTGGTGACCAACAAGTTTTCCATTCATTAAACATTGATTTATGCAAAACTTTTATGAGATTAAATTAAGATCTTAAAACTTTAACGACATAACCCAATAATATGTCAAAACCATCCTCTATAAATAATAGCATAATAATTTATAGAGCATAAAGAAAACAAACAGTTTTCAAATTTCTATAATTTTGGCTTCGTTCAATCTTCACAATCCGAAATTAATTTTCCATAAATTAAGCCAAACAATCATTAATTAAGGCCAAACAAAAACACTATTAAACAAATGCTAGAATAAGGATTGGCTCTGAATCACCAACATGTTTAAATAAATCTTTTAATTATAGCCCAGATATAATTAAATTCATAAGAATTTGTTTGACAAGAATATACAATAATCAATATACAATAATCGGAAGCGTACCTTGATCCATAACAGCAGATCTATGTTATGGGTTACCTCGTTGCGGCAATTCGATTCTCACCATAACAACAGATTTACGTTTCTTCACTCTGGCCTTTTGTCTATAAATTTTCTCTCAATGGTCAGAGAATTATCAACAACTACGGGAGTTTCTTTCCAGGAGTTTCTTTACACGCTCTCTCAAACAACCTATCACCGTATGTGTTTGAAGTAACCTTCACACTCTTTCTTTTCTTTTCTGTGTACACCCTAAGCTGTCGATTCCTTTTACTTTTATAAGGCAGAGGAAGGGTATTAAAACCCTAACTGGCTCTTATCCATTAACATTAAGGCTAATAACCATCATGCTTGTGACCACCTTATTAGAACCAGCCCTTTAATCACATGGGCTACATATAGATTATTAAATAATCTAAACAATTGGGAACACAGGCAAATGCCTACCCCTAAGCTGTCGATTCCTTTTACTTTTATAAGGCAGAGGAAGGGTATTAAAACCCTAACTGGCTCTTATCCATTAAGCCTAATAACCATCATCTTGTGCCACCTTAATTAGAACCAGCCCTTTAATCACATGGGCTACATATAGATTATTAAATAATCTAACAATTGGAACCCACAAATGCCTATGTGTCTACTTACGTGGACCGACTAATTTTATATGTAGGACGCCAGAGTGGCAAAAGGGATAAAATGTCCCATTTGCCCCTCTTTAATATCGCTCAAATACAATCCAACACCCCTTATTTTTCTTTTTCTCTCTCGCATGACCCACAACAGAATGACTCTGTATCTTGGCCAACATTGTTTTCCAACACTAGTCTCTCGCTAACTTGTTCAAGCGTGTTCCTTAGATCTATTACCATTGCTTCATTTTCTCTTGTCTGTCTTTGTCATGACTCTCTCTGCGTGTGGTTTTCTTAAACAAGCTTCAAGCTCCATTGTTTTCTTTGTTGCTTGTGCCAAGTCCTCTTCTTTTTACCTCTAAAATAAATGACTTTGGATTCTACACTTTTTAGCAAGACTCCAAGTCGTTGCTTCAGCTCTTGCAAAGCAGATCTTAGCCTCTCGTTCTGCATTTATTAATTATGAGATTAATTATAATTTTCAAGAAAGAAATTTCAAGAATTAATTGAACTGAAGAACTTGAAAAGAAATTAATAAAGATCAATACCTGCACCAATCAACCTCTCGCCTTTGCATTTCAAGATGACGAGCATCTAGAGCCATAGAGATAAAACTATCACAAGTTGATTGTGAAGAAGTAGAAGAGACCCCTGTGCTTGTCGCTCTATTATTATCAAAACCAAAGTTCTAAGAGCTTTGCTGTTGAAGAAAAAGATTCTGCTGTTGAGATTGTTGAAAAGGAAAATGACAATCAGGTTCAAAACCAGAAATAGGATTATTAACCATCCAATAATCCTGCAACCCAGAAGAGAGAGGAAGACAAACAAGATTGTGTTTGAGCGATATTAAAGAGGGGCAAATGGGACATTTTACCCCTTGTCACGCTAGCATCCTACATGTAAAATTAGTCAGTCCACGTAGGCAGACATGTAGGCATTTGTGGGTCTCAATCAGTCCTATTAGATTTTCCGGTAGTTCATATCATCAGGAGACACCAAAATAAAAAGGATTGCAAGTCTAGACACTCAATTGTCATAATTTTCCATTTAGACACCAAAATAAAAAAAAATGACAAATACAGGCACCAAAATTAACATTATCCCTAGGTAAACTAACACTTGTAATAACTAATACATTAATTCTTAATTTTAAAGCTTAAGCTCTAATTGCAATGAGAAGCTGTTAAATTTATTGTTGAAACTACTAAAACATAAATGCTATTAAGAACATTCTTAATACTTTAACAGAAATTGTTGTCGTTGTAATGATTCCTAAAGGCTTCAGTCAGTTTCATTATCTTACGTCAATAGACTTGCCAATCATAGTTAAATTAGATATTGTGGTAAAGTTAGATAGTTCAAGGGAGTGCCTCCACATTAGCAAAGCTTTGCCTTTGTGATGCAGTATTTTGCTCTCTGCGAAAGATGCAAAAAGGAAAAGAAAAAAAAAAAAATTGGCAGTAGCAATTGCACAAAGACTAATAAATATCATCAAATATGCACTAAAAATACATTTGATTATATGTCATTATAATTCATCCAACAAAATATAGGCTCTAACCAGTCACAATTTTAATATAGTGTTTAGTGTTTTGACCTACTTTTATTATTTATATTATCCGTAATGTTTAATGTTTTGATCTACCTTTGTTATTTATCTTTATTATTTATAGAGTTTGGTGGAATAGTATTTTTACTAATAATTAGGATTTGAGGGAGTAATTTATAAAATGTTACTCTCTTTAACATTTGATGAAGCATTGATAATGATAACTACTAATATAGTTAAAAGCTATAAAAACAATTAATTTGATGAATAAAGAGTTTTTCTTAGTGCAAAAAACCATCATAATCCCTCATACATCAATAAAGTTAGGCACAATCATTTTTTGATTCTAACTAGAATTGAATCGTAACCAAATCGAATAAAATTTAAACCAAATCAGAATTGAACAGAAATGAATCGAGTAAAATTAAAACCAATAATTTCAAATTATAATTGAAACCGTAATTTTAAGAATGAATTTTTGTTTCTCATTTTTTAAATCTGAAACTAGTGATTCATGTTTGAAATAGGCAGTTCCAATTTAAAACTACTAAAAAAATGAATTATATAGCATTTTTTTAAATCTGAAACCTAGTGATTCATGTTTGAAAATAGCAGTTTCCAATTTTAAAATACTTAAAAAAATGAAATTATATATATATAATATATAATATATATATATATATATATATATATATATAGATGACCAAAATTACTCCCAAAGATCGACCCGATCATCTTAACACAATTAATAAATTGCGAATGGGATGACAATAAGTAAAAGATCTACATTTTTTTTTTTTTTTTTTTGAAATCTAAAATCATATATAATAATTACAACTGTCCGATTTAATTCATTTATAATAAGTATGTATGTATTGCATTTTAAAGTACACGATACGTGGCATTGTTTATGGCATTGTTATACCAAGAAGATGACTAATAAATAGCCCTTTGGACCAGTAGCCCGCACTTCTGGGTTTCCAGCCTATATATCAATACTTATGATATTCAATCAACATATATATATTATAAACATGCAAAACAATTTTCTGATGTGGAAGATCAGACTAGGCTGTATCCACAGAGCATACTTATAAGCAACAAACAACACAATAAACAATCTATTTAATATTTATCAATTAACTCAACCAATTTTAATTGATTTTACTTTAATTAAGGTTGAGGGTTCCTGCAACCTTAGCCTGGGATCCCCAGAACTAAGTCAGAGTGTGGAGGGAGAAGAGAAAGGTGCCGTAAACACGGACAAACAACGGACTTAGCAATTTAGCAGTTTATAAATTTAAACAACAATTTTATTTAAATACAAATATTAAATACAATTTTTATACTTACAAGTAATGTTGTTTTACAAACAGACAGACTTCGAACTTGGAATCCTTACAAGAACTTGAGAATGGAGAGAGGAGAGAGAGTTTTACAATATTAATCCTAAGTTAGTCCTCGTGCCTTCACAAGAGGATAGGCTCCCTTTAAAAGGAAAACAAAAGAATCTTGAACTTTTACTATTTAACTTTTACTATTTATGAATAGTACTTGGTCTGCCATCGAATCTTGAACAGTGTTGACTTTTACTGTAGATGAACAGTGGGTTGTCTGCCACCGAATCTTGACCTTTACTGTTGAAATAGTGTATTGGCTATTCCTGTAGAGACAGTAGTTTGGCCTTTACTGTGGAAAATGATATGATGGTGAAATAAGGTTCCACCTGCCTTGTTTTACATGGAGTCCGAACAAGATGAGGATAATGACGAGACAAGATGAGGATAATGACATACCCTTCTTTACTTTTCTTTTTATCTTGTCGGCTTTCTTTTTCTTTTTCTTTATTTTTTCTTTTCTTTCTTTTTCTTTAGCTCTAGCTTTACTTTTGATTTTTATGACTGAAAGTGCCTCATCACTATCTTCAGAGGATGAGCTGGAAGTATCCGATGAAGATGATGATGATGTTTTACCTTTACTTTTATGAGCTGTCTTGGTCGATGATTGACTTGAAGACGCTGCGTGAATTTTACTGGATGAAGGTTTTACCTGTGGATCTGAACTGGTAGAGAGTAATTGGAACATTTCTTCACAGATCAGTTTATACTCCTCAGGTGTTTTAGCTGCAGCTAACCTAGCTTGACACTTAGCTTTTTGAATCCCAAAATCAGGGTTTTCTGGTAAAGCAAGTGTTTTAGCATAAGTTAAATTTTTAAGGGATGATAAGCTGGCCTTTTTACTGGTGATCCATTGACTGATTTTAAGTTGGGTAGTGGAGTTTTTGAATGATCCCCACCATTTTATCTTGTGACATTTTACCCCATTCTTATCTTGGACATTGTTACTATCATTGGTATTTGAGTACCAGGAACATACTGATAGTCAAAAAACCATTGTATACCATGTACCCATGGTGTGAAGAAGGTCATACTATAATACATCAAAGATGGTATATGGGCTTCTTCAGGGGTAGGTTTATAATTGGTTTTAAAATAGTGATATAGTGAAAGGACTTCTGGGGTAATAATTTCTTTAGAAATTCCTCTTGATTGCCACCACTTTTTAAACCAATTAGGGATTTGTAAATCTTTACGAATATTTTGGTCAAAATAAATTAACCAAGAATGAGTATGAGTTGGGTTTTGAATACAGAAAACCTTTTCCCATGCCTCTTTATAATCAAAATAATTATAAGTAGGATTATACTTAGAAAGAGTTTTAAATCTAACAGGAGTATATAAAGAAGATAAAAGAAGATACAGGCCAAATCCCTTAGGATGGATGACGCGTTTTATTTGAAGAGAGAGTATGAAATAACGTTTTATGTTTGAGTCAATCGCAAATGTATGTTTTTATTTTTTTTACTGAACCAGTATCAATTAAAATATTATGGTAAGTATTTCCTGAGGGTTTTGAAAGGGTTCCGTTGGGCAAAAATACCAATGCTCAGGATAATATTTATGAATAACTTGCGCAAGGATTGATCGTCCATTATATCCATCCTCAACTTCAATTTCCCATAATCATATACATTTTTTTACAAAACCATTTATGTACTACTAAGAAGTAAAATGATAATTGGGCTTTTTTGGCAAAGCCACAAGCCTTCAACGATTTGAGAACTCTTTACCGCGCTACCGTTTGAGACGGAGTTAGCGTATCATGAAGCGGTATGTATCGCTTTAGGTTGAGAACTCATACCTGGAAATTCCTGCCCTGTTGGAGACACGTAGGATGCTATTCTTTTGTAGCGCCTTTACTATTTCTGGAGATTTAACTAAGCTTCTTTTCAATCACATTTGTTGAGGTTTTCTAGTGTTGGGTCTGGTTAATGCTCTAGGCTAAGTGTGTCATAGGTATCTTTCAGGCTCAGATAAGAGAGGATGGAGGGGATGGCCAGATTCCAAAATTTAATGAGAGAGCTCTCGCCATGTCATCCTTTGGGATTCTTCTCCCAGTGCAGGGTGATGTTTGGGTAAGGAAGTTCTACTAGTTATTAGGGTAAAGTCCTGGAAATATTATTAATTATTACCTTTAATAGTGGTAATATCAAATTCAAATATAGACTAAGAATACTTGCCATCTAGCAAAGATTGCTTAGAATGCAAAGGGTTTTTAACATCTTTTTTTGCAGAAAACATCTTTTGCAGATCTATTTTACAATCAATTTCTTAAGTAATAAAAATTTTTTTGGTTAAATAAATCAGATTTGATAATTTATTGATTACAAATGTACATATGACTTAATACTTCCTTGGTTAATAGTAGAGTAATTTAATTGAAGTTGTGTGGTGGCCAATGACCCAGATGTATACTGAATTATACGTTCTTTACCATAAATGGTAACTGTTTAATGATTATCTAGTGATTCCAACACTTGAACATCAGTTTCAACTATTTTAAATGGCGGTTGATTAGGGAACTATAAAGATATGGATTTCCTTTTACCAAAGCCTTTATCTTTTTTTACTAACTTGTGTATGTTGGGGCTGCTTTTTTACTAACTGTGTATGTTGGGCTGTCCATGGGCCACCATTTTTCTTAAGCCTGTCATGTAAGGGCTTAATCATACAATTTAGGTTTGGGTAAAAATCTATGACATAATTTAAGCATCCAAGAAATCGTTGGAGTTGGGTTTTATTAGTTATTTCGTCAGGGAATTTAGACCCAAAAACCATAGCTCTGTCTATAGGCTGGATAATACCCTGTTCTATATAATGACCCAAAAACCTAACCTTTGTTTTAAATAAGTCCATTTTCGTTTTACTAAGTGCTAAACCATTTTTTTCAATAACCATGCAAAAGGTTTTTAAGTGTTTAAAATGGTTTTCAAGGTTTTAAAATGGTTTCCAATGGGTTTGACTAAAAATCTAATAACATCAATCAATATACAACTAATACAAAACGTTGTATATGGATTAAAAATTGTCATTCATTTTCTTTGGAATCTAAAAAAGGAGCATTTTTCGTTAAGGCAAAGGGCATCACATTCCATTCATACTGTCGCGAAAGGGAGCTGTGAATGCCGTTTTATACCTATCCTTTAGGGTGAATCTAGGATTTGCCAATAGCCAGATTTCATATCAAATTTACTAAAGAATATTTGCATTATATATTTCTTTAAAAGATCTTTTTTTATTAGGAATTGGGATATCCTTACTACATTTTAAAGCTGTATTTAAAGGTTTTATAAATTAATCACTAGTCTAGGTACTCTCTTTCTATCTCAGCATTTTGTATTAACATAAAAAGCTGCACAAGCCAAGGACTTTCTAGGATTTTTTTGATAATTTTTTTTATTTTCTCAAATCTTTTAAATTTCCTTTTTACAATGTTCTATAAGTTCAGGGCTCATTTGAATGGGCCGAGCTTTAGTTGTGATGGACTTTTCATCAAAGTCCTTTTCATATGGTAAATCCACGATATGCTGTTTACGGGCCCAAAATGCATTTGGGTGATCGGCACATAGTTTATTTTCCATAAATTCTCTTAAATTCTTGATTTTATTTTGAACCTGTTCAGTATTTTGTTGTTCTTTAATTTTTCTGAAACATGCATTATTCCTTTTCTGAAACATGCATTATTTCTTAAATTTTTTAAGTCTTCTTCCTTAGAATTTATCAAAGAATTAATTTCTAAAGTTTTAATAGAATGAGCTTTGAGTAAATTTAAATTCTTCCTTCTAGGTTTTTCAGTGAATTCTAACCTAGCTTTACTATTATTGATTTTAAATTTAATACAATCTTTTTTTACTGAATATGGTGTTATTAGGTTTATAAATGGTGTTCCTAATATTACCATATAATTGATTTGTGGAGAAAGCAGAAAAATTGTTTTGATTTCTAACTCATTATTTACAATATCTGCATCAATTTTTCCTACAATTTCTAATTTAGATTTATTAGCTGTAGTTAATTTTTCATGGGTTTCTGACCAATATCTTCTTGGTACTATGTCAGATTTTAAACAATTTAAGGATTTGGTGGGAGGCCAAAATTGGTAGGCGGAGGAGTCGGGAAATTAAGGATAAGACAGGAAGTTCGGTGCTCTTGCGAGGACCCTTAAGGGCTCGGTGCGCTGATGGGAGCCCAGAACCCTGGAGGCTGCTGGCGATGAAGGTACGATTTAGATTTATTAGCTGTAGTTAATTTTTCATGGGTTTCTGACCAAAAGTATCTTCTTGGTACTATGTCGAGATTTTAAACAATTACGCTCTGCATCTGTGTCAAGATAACACTATACCATTTAAATAATAAAATCATTTTGATATTTGTAAACGTTATTTTTACTAAGATATTTTCGTGATGTTATTTCTTGTAAAAAGAAAGAGAAATTTGGGGTTTATTTCTTCTTCTTCATTTAGTTCCATTTATTTCATCTTTTATTTCATCATCTGGTTCTTGCCGAAGAGGAACTAGATTATTTAATTGTGTATCTAAACGTTTTTTTTTTTGTCTCATTTAGCATGTGCTTTGATTTTTTTAATTCTTTTACTTCATTTTTTAAGATGCCTAAATTTCTTTATATAACATCTTTAAGTGAAAATACGCTGTGTCTACCTTTTTATTTCCTTATCAATATAGTTTGTTAAATCATAAGTATTAGTTTTGGATTGGTTAGAGTTTATATGTTTTACTTTCTTTATCTCTTCCAAAACTTTTAAATTTAGTTTTTTAGAAGTTGACTTTTAATATCAACTATCCGTTACTACTATGTTACTACTTCTAAGAGTGTTAGCTGTACTTTCATGCTTTAAGTTAACCATATTTATGAATCTATCTGAGGTAACTGGTTGTTGAAGGCGAGTTCATCAATTTGATTATTACTTTCTTGTAACTCAGATATCTTGATGTATCAGAATTAAGATATAAATTCATATATTTTTTTACAATTTCTTCATCTAACCTGTAATTCATTTAATTTCTTATTAAATTTAGCAAAATTTA